ATCTTTATATTTCCTTATTCATGCTTTTTTCTTCTTAGATGTTTAGTGCGTATCTAGGTATATCTCTAAATCAGTGTTGATTTCGTAAGGACAGACGAAAAAATGTTTTTTTTTTTATATTATTGCATGTACACGCCATAATAATGAACAGAAATAAAATTGATATTTAATAAAAGTCAGAATTGTGCTTATAATTTCGTTACAGAATCCCCTATACATATTGATTAATTCCCGTAAAAATTAATTTTTGATCATGTAAAAATATTTTTAATAAATCACATTTAATGTTCCAAAACCCACAGGGTTGAATATTAAAAATTTTAAATACAACTAAAATGATATGTAGATATAATGTCATAAATAAATATCAATACCAAAAATTGTTATAGTAGTTTTACTTGCTTTATACTTTTACTAAAAATTAAAAGTTGTGAACAAAATACTTATTACCAGGGGATATTATACAATAGTGTAAAAAAAAAACAAAAAATAAAAAAGTACATATATCGCGATATCACGCATTCTTGATAAAATAATATTCATTTCATTTTTAGTTCAACTGTTCACGATATAATAAATCTATATTTAAGAAGTTGGAATTAGTTTCCTGTTATAAAATAATGCAGGAATTACTCAACATACAAAAAGTTAATACTCTTGCATATAAATTCAATTTTCACGGTCCACTGTAATATCACTTGAATAATTTTACGATTTTTAAATGTTTAAATAATTAACTTATTTTATTTGTGATCACTCAGATTAAGTTTATTAGCGAGAAATAAAATTTCATTGTTATTTAACGCTATAAAGATAATAACTAAAACATAATCAAGATATTTGATATTATGGTGTAGTACGAACTGCTGAAATACACCTAGATTTATGCTTAGAACATTCCTAATGTAACAATATAGCACCTAAAGATTTTTTGTACTTTAGCAATATTTTGCATGATAATATTATTAATATAAACATACATCTATGGTACTTAAATATATTTACATTATGCAATCATGACTATAAAAAGTAAATGGAAAGCAATCTAATCTCTTATTTTGTAATCGCTGTTTAATTTTACAATTGAACAAATGACCATAAAAATCTTTGTGGTGTATGCATATTTAATATGCATGGAAACTTATATAATGACCATTAATTATAATTATTAAATGGCATGGTAAATTTTGGTTAAATTATGTTGCTTTTCCATATATTACAATATCTACATTCGATTTTAATTAAAACCGATATAATCAAGTATGGTTACAATAAAAATTTCAAATTAACTGTTACAACGTTAAAGGCTCTCTATATATCACATAACCCAAACAGTTTTTATTCATTTAGAATTTATCATTATCATTATAGCTAGTATTAAATTTAATGCACGCTTATCTGACAAAAGATGAGCGTTGCAAAAAATTGCTGAGCAGTTTTGTATTAAATAATTTAAAAAACTCTAATCACTGATTTTATTCTTTACTAACAGCTAGAACAACAGGTTCAGACTCTTTATTATTTGATGGTAATATAGCTTCTGTTTCTTCACTACCTTCTGTACTGTCTGCTGCATTTGCATTTGCTGGTTCCTCCTTTTTATCACCAGCATTAGATGATTGTATTTGCTGTATTTGCAACTGATTACGTAATCGAGATATTTCACGTGCATCCGAACGTCGATGGCGTCTTAATTGTGCATTTTCCGAAACTATGCGTCGCGCTAGTTCCAGAACATCTTGTGGTACTTCCAAGGCTAATAACCTTTCTTCTAAATCTATTGCTGCTGCTCCTTCAGAATCAGAATCACTTTCTAACGAAGAAGTTCCAATTTCTGCTGAAGGTGGCTCTATATTTATTGTAGAAGATGTTACTGCAGCACTACTTTCTTCCTCTTCGCCCACTTCCTGTTTACTTTTTTGGGGTAATTCTTTCTGATTACTTCCTGGTGCATAAGAAGGAAATGTAGAATAAGTGCTAGCACTAGATCCAGAACTAGGAGATGTTTTCTCAGATTTTATACTATCTGATGAAGCTTCCTTTTTCTCATTAGGGCTTGATGTATGGTGGTTATAACGTTTATGTTCATGGTGATGTCGTCGTTGATGGTGAGCAGATGGTGGAAGTACTACAGGCACTGATGGTGCAGGTATTGGTGCTAAGGCTACATTTGGTTGAAAATGTGGTTCAAAGCGTTTGCATTCAGAAAGGGGTACTACACACTCTGGATGTTGCAACACAGGTGGACCTCGACTGAGATATGCAGGCACCAATGATGAACTGTTCACAGAAAATTACACATTTCTTATGAAACATAATTTAAAAAAATATATTTTATTTTTTTAACTGCATTTGTTTGATATACTTACTTATCTTTATGCTTGCAAACACTCGTGGTATTCCAAGGTCTAAAAGCTGATGCTCCTCTAGCTGCTAATTCAAAGACTGCCCATTGCATTTGCAGATATGGATCAGTTGCATTAGCTACCTGAGATACAGGATGATACATGCCTAAACCATTTCCATTATAAATTCCTGGGCAATCATCTCTTCCTACATCCTTTCTAATTCTCTTTAATTTTTCTGAATCATGCCGCAACTGGAAAAGGGTTCTTTATTTTCTCCTTTCTTTTCTGTTTATTTTTCAATATACACAGAGTATTATAAAAGCATAATATTAATTAAAAGTTTAATACATAAAACTCACATAAAATTCAATATTTTATAAAAAGAACATAAAAATATTGTCCCTTTCAGTTATGTTAATTAATAGTAAAACTTTAGTTATATATAGTTTAAAAATTAAAAATTTTATGAGAGTAATATTGAAATACAATACCTCTGATTTTCGCTTGGAACCCAATGTAAGGTGTTTTTCCTTCAAGTCTCGAAATAAAGTAAGTGATTTATTATAATGTTCTTGATCCCGTGAAAGTAACAGATACGATCGCCAATTTGTAGAATCAAAGCCCCAATGACAGGTACGATTTTCAAGAGATCTATGTGCATGTCTAACAAAACGTTGAGGTGAGAATTGGCAGCCGCATTCAATACACTCTATGCACACCGAATCATCAGATTCGAACAAATTTGCATCAAAAGTGCCTTTACATTTTCCAAAACACTCATGATACACCTTAAATTTGACAATGGATTCATCATCATCATTTTTAGTACACACTTTTTTTTCAATACTATCTTGGTTTTGACTGATTTGAGAGGGATCACACGATTCTGTCCGTAAAAGTAAAGCACTGACAAGCCTTTCGGCATCTGTTTGAGTGATAAGGCCACAGGAAGGAGCATTACGCGGCAAAATTCCTGAATGCTTAAGTTCCTCTAACTGATCTCGTGTACACCGCGAACAATAAATTTGTAACTCATCACATACTTGATTAATCTGTTGAAGAGAAAATTCTTGTAAGACTGTATTTAAAATTTGTGGTAAACATAACCTCCTTTCGCCTCCTACAACAAAACACGATATTCTTTCGCCCTCTAAAATCGTCTCGCATCTTTCAGAGCAACTTTGGTCAGGTGCGGTTAAGATAGGTATCTGAAATTCTAATTCTCTCTTTTCACAAACGTTTTTCGACCGTTCTAATTGCGGGTCTTCATCTGAATCTTCAAGCGGTTGATCCGTTCTGCGAAATTTACACGGAACAATAGGTGTTATCGATGGATTGTTATCCTTTTCAATATCCTTCGCAGAGGCCTGCTCCGATGCTGAATCAATGACACAATTATTCGATCGACTCGAAGGAGAGTAACAAGGTGCCTGTTCTTGCAGTAGACTTTTACAGTCCATACCAAGCAGGGCCGAACTCGGACCCTGTAAGCTTTTCACAGCGGATAGCTGATATGTCTTCAAGACAGTCTTCAGTTGTGGACTATACGATTGACTATTCGTATTGCCGGGCAATAGCGTCTCCATTATTCGTAACGTGCGTGTAAAGATTCACGAAGGTAACAAGTTAGATCGTTGTACAAAATTTTCGAGACAGCTTGTGACATACCACGCTATTTTGTACAATTTATAATATAGGCGTACTTGCACCTACAATATACGAAATCTACATGCGTTCACTTTACAGCACTTAATTCGACGTATCGTTCATTTAGTTCACGTTTATGATTACAAGAAGAAAATAGCACAAACAAATAAAGATGTAAAGTGTTCATCTCAGTCGGTGCGCTGTTACATCTCGTTGCTTCTCTTTTGGCACACGAGACAAGAACCAGCTTAACCCGTTCATATGTCTTTTTCTAAGTCTGCTCCCCTTGCCGTAATATTATATTCAACACAACGATCCGGCTATCTATTATCCGCAGTCTATTGTCCATCGCAACGTCGCTTCCATGTACATGATAATTCGTTTTTGCCTGAACGAATTTATACACAGATGTACTAAAACGATGTACCGCCACTATAAACGAACCTATAATCGAGATGTTTTGTTTTCTTAAATTTTTACATTTATTAGACTTTAGTCGTTTTGCTAATTTTCCTTTACGAAGCACTTGAACAAAACACGATTATTTGCGACTGCTTCTTCTCTTTTTACCTCTTGCTGATTTCGTTTGCATATTTGTCCATTTATCATGTTATTTTAATACGATATATCCCCTCAGATGATGCATATCCATTGTTTCGCGGACTTCGTTATCACTGCCGTCATTTCTATCGTCACTGTCTTTGATATTATCGTCTCTACTGTCGCTACAGTTGTTATTACGATCGCCACCGCGACCGCCATTCGACCGCCACCGCCACCGCCACAGCTATTTCTACCACCACTGTCGCTGCCGCCGCCGTCACAGTCACCGCCACCGTCGTCGCCACTGTCACTACCACCGACACCACTGTCGTCGTTACCGTCGTTCTCAACAACGACCCCGAACGACAAATAAATATGTTGTTATGCTATTTGTTACAATAATTAAATCGATGATACGTTCGATCGACGAACATTATCACCATCACCAGTGACATTGTTAGACAATGGATCGACTTAGCACACCACGACCAAGTGACGTATTGATCGCACACGGAGCGAGAAACGAAGAACCACTCGAAAAGATACGCATATTTTTTATGGCATTGCACGGTGTCAATTACAAACGACGTGGAACCCACATAGATTATCCGCACTACAGTCATTCGTTGTCGCTGATACGTGATATTAATACGATTCAATATTAGTACGTATACTCGCGCTTCTCATGGCAAGACGTTTCGTCGATTGCATGCGTGTATTCTCCTTCCCTCCCTCCCTTCCTTCCTCCCTTCCACTTTCAGTCTGTCTTTTTTGTGGTACAAATACTCCACCTTGCTTTTTTTTACACACTTATGTACGTACACTATAACCGTACGCGTATGTAAACACGAGAAGATAGCACAGGGCCCTTAGTGGGGCTGCATATCATTGTGTACTTTTGTAACCCAACAGAGCATTGTACTCCTAATTACATACAATTTTGTAAATGTATGTGTGTGTGTATAATTGCTTGGGCACTTATGATTATTTAAACAACGGAGAACTATCATAAACTCTACACTTTGCGATACTCCTTCACAGGTATCACGTCGTTAAGCGAAGTTCACTATACCCCTTGTTAACACCGCTTTTTCCACCAAGCCAGCATAACGCTCGGCCTCCTACCACGCTCTGTGTCTACCACGTTAGCAGTTTCGTCGCTATCGTACTTTCGTATCTATCAAGCCAGTGTGTAACACACATATATATACACGTTACAGATCAGTTCGCTCAAACCGCGTTCGCCTCCGAAAGATATGGAATGGTTCAGTCTGCGTATCTACGGGTTGTGGCATAGTGTCGGTCTGGTCAGCTACGACAGCCGTGGTCGCGGAGGTGGCGACGGCTAAGTATTTAATCACGTGATCCCCCCGTCAAAATAGCCTACATGTTCTACACCCACATGGATAGAAGCGCATCTATTCCGCGTTCATTGTCAGGGCAAGCTTAACACGTCGTGCACACTACGCTTTCGTTGTGACAGTAATGGTTTATTTTGATTCCGTTCGTGTAAATGAAAACTTTCTAATATTTTTTTAATAATGCGAATCCGATACCCTTCTATAAATTCTATGCTGTGCAAAAAAAATAAAATTGAGGTTTTTGTAAACATATTGATATAAATATCATTATTCCTCATTAATGTATAATCGAACTTCTTGGAACAAAATTGCATTATTTTAAGAATCGTAATATAGTTAGAGAAATTAGTTTCTTAGAAATCGTTCCGGCAGAATTCCACTCTTAACCACTTATTTTAAAATAGACTGAAGAATTTGTTTGATAAATTACATTTATCTGAAAATTCATGATATTTATTCGATATGATAAAAAAAATCAAAGGTACATTTAATTAAGTTGGATGATATTTACACAATAGCCTAACCAGATTTTATATATTATGACTTATTTTTTAATACACGTGGGAAGTATTAATTTTCTTAAAATGAATTATATAAAATTGTTGGTGAAAATATATTTATTCAAATTAAGAAATATTTTAATGTGTGTATATGTGTATATTATATGTGTGTGTGCGCATGTATATGCATACATATATATATACACATGCACATTCATTATCATCAAGCATTCACACTCTTTTATTTTCATACTTATATTCATGTCTTTTAAATATGTTTTAAAAAACAGTAACATCAATAAAAAGTGAAATACTTATTAGCTATTTATCATGTATAAATTTTATTTAGATTTTTTTAGTTTTTTAAGTTTTTCTTTTTTCTTATGTTTTTTCTTATTTTCTTTTGTCATGAGCTTCTTTCGTCGTTCTTTCTTCGATCTTTTCTTCTCTTTTTTCAATTCTGCATCTGAAGATAAATCAGAGTCATCTAAACTTGAACTACTCGATGAAGATGAAGATGATGATGATGAGGAGCTTGAACTAGAAAGAGAGGAATCTGGAGAAGATTCTGAAACACTTTCACTTTTTTGTTCTAATGCAGGTATTATTGCAGGTTTTGGATGAGATTTTAAATGTTCCCTTAAATCATCTGTAAGTCCACCTAAACCAATAGATGTAAAAAAATTTATTGCAAAACGAGTATTTTTTGGATCATCTCTGGGAAATAATCCTTCAAACGCATGTTGCAATGTAACATCTTTAACACGTTGATTAAGCTTAGATAGTCCCATATATTCTGATAGTTCTTGAAACAAGATTTTGATAAATATCCTGTTAGAACTTGTTGTGTCCTCTTCAGTTAATTTTATACAAGATAATATTTCCCATGATATAGAGTCAGTAAATAGTAAATGAGCAAAAAATTTTGACACATTACGTAACTTATTTGTATCTAAACGATGTATTGTATGATATGAATCTCGAAAAATTTGCTCAAATGGTGTAACATACATCTTATTAATAGCACAAAACCGGCCAGCTAATAATCCAAAGAATTTTTCATATGTTCTCATTTCTGCACAACAATCCAAAAACATATGACAAAGTTCAGTTTCTTGACCAGGTTTTAGCTGCATTTTCATTAATTTGTGTGCACATTCTTCGAAATCAAGTGATGAATGTATTGTTAAATATATTGTTCTTCTAAGAGCTGTTAAATTTGTTTCTGTATTATCTACAATTACATCTTCTTTTCCTTCTGTTACTGCAGCACTACTATCTTCATCTGAACTTTCTTCCCTAGTATTTCTTTACTTAATTGTTTATACTTATCTTCATTACTAACATATTCTGCATCAAACTTAAAAACATTTAATATATCTTGAGAATCAGTTGCTTCATCTAATGTTACTAAATGTGTAAATTGATTTTCTTCTTCTACAAGGTCAAGTTCTTCTGGAACAGCTTCATGATCTTTAAATCCATCCTTTCGAATTTGAAACATAACTTCAATCATATATTGAACTCTTTTGTCTAATTGACCTTCATGTAATATGTTTCTCAGCATTTCAAATATAGCTTCAATACCCTTTCTAGAAACTTCAGTTAACTTCATACCACATTCTTTTAAAAATGCAATTGCCACTTCTACAGAATCATCTGTTGGTGTTTCTACCAATAAGGTTAAAATTTCTAAGGCTAAAATCTCATGTGCTACTCTTTGATTTACTAAATGCGCTATAAATGTTCCAGAAGATATACAAAGGGGTTTGTCATTTCTTCTAAAACCACGTTTAAACTGTATTACAAGACGTTTTAATATTAATTCCCCAATATTGGGAAATTTAGAATTAATAATTGCAGTGAGAGCTGCATAAACAGATGTAAAGGTTGGTGAAGCTGCTTGAGCTTGAATAATAGATCGAGCAAGCAAACCTCTACCTCTAACAATATTTTCTTTTAAAAGTTCTCGAGTTATAAGTCCAATGTTACTAATGTTAACTTTATTAATATGACCATGAATAGACTTTTTAAGAGCTTCCCATGCAATCCGTTGATATGCAGCTCCTGATTTGTCAGTGATTTCTGCTTGCATCATGCGCAACTTTGCAGGTGGTATGTAAGCACCACCTGTTTTTGACGTTAACAACTCAACTGTTCGATTTTGCCTTTCCAGTGCTTCATTAGAAGCTTTTGTTTCTTGTTTCTTCTCCATTTCTTTATTTGTAAAGAAATATCTGTCTGACTTCCTTCTATTCTCTTTTCCGTAATCTCTTAATTTTTTTAAATCTTGCTTTTCATATGATCTAACTTCTGTACTCTGCTCTTCTGAATCGTGATTTCTCTTATAAGAGGTGCTCCTTTTATTATTCCTTTCATCATAATAACGATCACGATTGCGCTCGCAGTCCCGATTTCGTTCGCGGTCCTTATCTCGGTCACGGTCTCGATCTCGCTCTTTAGAATGATGTCTATGACGCTCATAATCATCTCCGTCTCGTCTAGAATGTGATCTCTTCATTTTGTTACTAAAATTTGAAAATATTAGTTTCAAAAATTTGTTAACAACTCATCAAAATTTTCAGAAAGAATTAAATGAAATTATTTCATAACCTCTAATATGTAATAAGATTTAAAACATTTTTTCTATATATGTAACACGTACAAAATATTAAAGGCCAATTTCATATAATTGGAAGTAGTACTAATTACAAAATAGCAAAATATTTATTACCTTGATAATTATACGTAATGCTTTGACAAATTTTACTTTAACCTCTTACACAAAATAACCTGAGAAATATAGCCATAATAATGAAGCACAATTACAAATTCAATATGGAAAAGAATACTCAATTCTTAAATTTTTTCTTATTCATTGCTACACTGTACTAAATCACAATTATTCATCATACATTTTATGTACGAAATATTAGTGACGTTTCAATATGATTTGTACATACGTTCAGAATGTACCTACGTTCACAATAATCGCACATTATAAACAATATGATAATATTAAAATAGGAATGCTAAATAATACTTTTATAATTAAAAAGTAATTACTATTCATAAAATATACTTTATGAAAATGTCTTTATATAATATGACAGTTTTAAAAATTAAATTCTGATTAAATTTGCGTAATAAACAGAGTAAAATGCAAATAAGTCAAGATAAAACGAAAAGATGAATCTAAGGAATCATATAAATAAAAATGTTTTTTAACAAAAATGAATCATTAATAATTGCAATGTAAGTTACAGTTTAAATTTGTATGTAGTGATATCACTGAACATAGTTGCAGAAATTCACCATGTAGTACAAATTTCTTTCAAATATATGTAATACAAACCTTTGTAAATATTGTAGTAAATAATACAAATTGTTTAATTTTTTTCTTCAACTATTAATGAAAAATAATAACACAATGTTTTAAATACATAATTTTACTGTAGTTACTACTATAAATGAATTACAATTACAAACAATATACTTATTTGTATAGATATGTATTTCTACAAATAGTATAATTTACGTACATATGTACATAAAATACTAACGCCATGCTAAATAATATTATATGTATTTTATCATATAGTTCTTAAACGAAATTAATATTAGAATGGGCTGTTGTTACATATTTTATAGTAATAAGTATACATATAGTTAAATCGAATTATAAAATAATTTTTAAGAGCGATGTTACGTAGTAAAAAACAAAGTTATAACTGATCAATAATACTTAAATAATTTAGTAGATTACATCCTCGTTAGTATTACAATTAAAAAGGCTTTAATTATATTTATAGCAAGATTTTTTTAAATGAATTCCTGAAAATTAGACCTGTATAAGAAATGCAGTACGTATGCGTCATTCTATAGAGAATATATGTAAGTAGAGGTATATACTCCTTATGAAGATGTGTATCTAATAAACATGGCGTCTGCCAAATGACAACGCGTTTTGCTGTGTTAAGTGTTTTTCAATTTTGTGTTTCTTACATGATTATTTCTAGCCAGTGATTAAAAAAAAGGATAACTACTTCATTCTGTGAAGGAACATAGTGAAAATAATCTATCTGACATACCACATAAATCATTTTTAGGAAAACATTATCGTGGTGAATCAGAAATTGTACGTGCATTAAAATTAAGGTAGTTTCAAATTGTACTAAATTTCAAGCATAATGATTATTAGAGGTATTTAAGAGTTGATAAAACATTTAATTGATAAATAGATTAACTATTTATTTTTTAAATATCTAAAACAAAAATGAAAAATATCTTTTTAAACTATGGTCATGTTCGTATTGTGTTGCTTATATCATTTTCATATTATTTGAATTAATTTTTTCACAGTTACAAGATCGTGCTACTTGATGTAAATCATAATTGCAAATTCTTATTCACTATTATTTTAAATAATCAGAATAGCCTAACTTAAAAGGATATTTTAAGTACTGTAAATAATTAATATTTGTAAATATTTGATATGTAAATATCAATTGAAATGTTTTAATTAACAAGTGATTT